TTAAATGCGGAAGACAATTAGTTTATAACAAATTTATTTAAGAATATTAATGAACATGCATGAGTTTAGAAACACGTATAATAGTATGGTCTATATGATTTTTTTTGTCTCAATACTTATATTCACTTAGAAAATGCTCTTAGAATAAAAGTATTGAATCAACACAAATTATAATAATGGTAGTACACATATGTATGCATCAATATGATTTTTTACTTACTTTTTATGTGGATAGGGGATACAATAAATGTACTCTATTAATAACATGACAAAAGAAATTTAGAATTATGAAATGTTGTTCGTTATTATCTTGTATAATAGAGTATTAACAAAGTGCTGCTAACTTTTGACATTTAACAACAATTCTGAATGTTACTGTCTATCTCAATTCAGTCACGTAATATCATGGGGTCAGCAGGTGTCAAGTGCTGTATGGCAGGTGAAAAAATTACTTTTACTTTACTTCAGTTTAGTAAATTGTTTTCTTTCTAGATCTATGCGGTCACTCACAGATGCAAAAACATAATGGTGTTGAATGTTGATTTATGCTTAAAAATCTGGAAACAAAGTGATCCCTCGGAAGAATTAATCACAACAGAATTACATGAACATTGCAGACGTGGTTTGGCTAAGTCTGTACATGAGGGATAATGACTGAGTGCAACATCCCTCACACCCCCGGCTTGAGCGGTACTCAATTCTCAACACTTAATAGTGCTGGCATCAATGATCCCGAAGTACCAGAAAAATATAACAATACTGAGCCGTTCTTATGGGACAGAAGAACACATACACATTCCATTAAATTTGACTAATTGAGAAAACAAACGAGAGCAAAGATCAACAAGGCAAAGGCAACGTTCAGAGAACGCAGCCCCCCCCCCCCTACACTCCAGCTGCAGCAGCAGGACATCCAGAAGCCACCGAACTAAAACCAGTAGAGGAATCAAGAGTGGCGAAAGGAAGGGAGAAACATGAAATAAGTGAAATGATAAGAACTAAAAGGGGCCCATAAGGGAATTAAAGGGACAAGGGACAACTGCTTCTTTTCATTGCCCTCGAGGGATCTCCCTTATTTCCGATTTGTGTGTTTATTTCTATGCAGACATGATTTTGTCTTGACATGACATACGAAAGGTTTTATCTAGTGTTAGAAGAACTTGTAACCCAACCAATATTTTTGATGTTTACATGTTGTTGTTATTTATATATTGGTTATTTCGTGTATTTGAAGCAATAAAAAGAAATAAGTTTAATCAAGAGGAGCCTTCGTAATATTTACCTTGTTTTGGTCTAGTTTGAGATCATGTAAAGAGACGAGTTGTCTAAATGCATCTTTATCCACAACACTGATGTTATTACTACTCATATGTAATTCATACGCTCCTGTTAACCCAGCTAATGTGTTTCCCGTTAATTTATTGATGTTATTGTAACTCATATCCAACGAGATTTTTTTGTCTAACCCATCAAACGCAAAGTCTTCAACATTTGTGATCTGAAATAAACGTTCTAATATAATCAGCTCTGGTATAAACATAACATTTGTAGACTATTGTTGTGGAGACCTTGGTATGAGCAAAGGAAATTTTAATAAATGTAATAACTCCATAGTCGTTTGCGTTTTCGTTTAATTTCTACTCCTTTGTAAAATATCGTTCTTGTAAAATCTAGTAATCAAATGACTAGCCGTGCCATTTTATAATTTAATAATTTTCAAAACCTCAATTCAGTAAGAAAAAAAGACAGATAACGATATTTTAATTTATGGTTTCTGTGTTTGTTGGTTTGTTTTGCAATAGTATTTTATGCATGATTTTATATATAAATATATATAACAATGACGACATTTTCACATGAACAGTAATTTTCATACCATATTTTGTTGAAGATACAAGTATATCAGATTCGGCGTAGATTTGAAGTCATAAGCTCTAAGCTCAAAAATGGCATTGCCGCTGTAATCGACACTTGTAACAGAACTTGGAAGATTGGACACTACGTGTTTCAATTCATTATCAAAAAATGAAACAGAGTCAAGTGCTTGGTTTTTCTTGAATACGTCCAAAGGAAAACTATCTTCGTTTAGATTGTTGTCATTGAACTGAAGTAATGAAAGAGATGGAATATCATCCAACACACCAGCTTCTAATTTCGTTAACATACAGTCCGACAAAAATAACGAATCTAAGTTTGGATAGTTTCTAAAGCTACCAGACTTTAGAGTGCCTAGATTGTTTTCTGCTACGCTAAGCGTACCAATATAAGGTGGTAACAGCTGTGGGATAGAAGTAGAAACGCCGCCATCGACGACTATCTCATTCAGGAGTGGCAAGTCCAAGGCCGTAAGATTGTAATTCTCCTTATTTGTATTTATTTCCTGAAAGGCGAACCTTTGTAATTTGAAGAGCTTTTCCAGTGGCTGAATAGGAATGTGGGATATATTACACCCACTTAAATCTAGGTAATTGGTGTCCTCAGGAATATTTGATGGAACATCAGTGAGGTTATAACAATCTACTTCCTTTGCGCCAAAGATAGTTTCACATTCACATGAGGCAGGACACGTGATATTTTTGGTAACAGCTTGCACGATGAACGGACAAAGCATGTATAGAAAACAGGAAAATCGTCTAAAAGACATAGTTCTGAAAAGATAAAAACAGACGATTTGTTAAAATAAATGAAAAAAAAAATTTTTTTTAATGGTTTAAGTCACACCTTCCCTTTAAAGGACATATGGCGACTTTTCAGCTTTACCGGTTAAGGAAGACATCATGTGCCCCTCCTTACATAATTAAAGGCATAAGCAGGCACCCGAATAGAGCCACCGACGTTCTATAAGCTAGCTGAATAGCTTCCTCACATAAAAGAATCCGAAGTCCCTGGTAAGATTTGAACCCACAGGTGTGGGGTCAGCGGTTCGAAGACAACAATCTTTAACTCTAGGCCACGGATCCCCATCCCATAAAATAGTCTACATTTTTGTGTGTTTTAGTTTCAAACTATTTGTAATTTTCAGGTCAGCGGCTTCGAGAGATATTTTTCAAATGATGAAAAGGTGGTATAGAGCCGTGTTACCTTTAAAGTATGATCATATCTTATGATCATTTTCATTAATAGTCTGAATCAAATAATAGTGTTATAATAATAATAATAAAGAAAGAAATAGTTAAAAAGGATACTTGCATGCGATAGATTAGCTAAATTTTGGTAGTTGAATTATCCACTAAACAGTTAAAACAACAACTTTATATCAGTTTAGTGTTTCAAACTTGCGGAATGAAAACCTTTTGCTTGACATTCAAAGAATAAGCCTGAAAATTCCAACGTAACTATTTATATGAATAGGAGAAAACTTGCCGGGTTATTAATGTATGAAATTAAACAATTTATACCTTTGTCAACGAAAAACCCGAAGCTCCATACCAATGAATCTAAGAACGCTTATCATCAAAATAATGTACGCTGATAACAACTAATATACAAAAACAAAGTGTTTTATTTCCAAAACAAAATATGGAATTCATGCACTCCGCCGTTATTTTGTTTAAAATCTAAAAAAAATATATGTTTATAATTAACTTCTGTTGCAGATGAAATAAAATGTTTCTAATATTTTGGAGTGGTTAAAAACTACCTTTTCTGAAGTTCTAGCCAAAACAAATGTAAAAAATGAGATAAGAGATCAAAACAGATTGCATTCGTAAATATTTTTGTATATAATTTCTGAGCTGAATGAAAGTTTGTGCTATTTTGAGAGATATACTTATCATAAATAAATGAATGTCAATTTACAAATAAATAAATAAATAAATAAATAAATAAATAAATAAATAAATAAATGAATAAATAAATAAATAAATGAATAAATTAATATAAATAAATAAATAAATAAATAACTTTTTTAATAAAAATGTAAATAAATAATAAATAAATTTCTATTTATCATTCGTGAATCTAACACTTTTATTGTGTTAATTAAAACATGTGTCTAATAGGTGAAAATTGGCTCTGCCTTCCAAACTAGTACAATATATTACATAATTTCCATGTTGTGCTATTTTACACAAGCATAGTCATAGGTTTGAACCTGATATATGAAACACAAACACAAAAAAATACTGTCATTCAATATCGTTACACACATTGAACAGGCCTTATGTTCATTTCAGAAGACATTCTTAACCTATACCCTGTTGGAACTGAAAATGTTAAGCCTTTGTCACTAGTATAGAATCAGACTAGCATGCATATCGTGAGTCTTAACAGGCTCAATTCCAATATTGACTTCTTGTATAAATATTCAGCAGGTCAAGGGTTAACAATGTTTTTTTTAATGAACCATAGTAACTGTGAGTGACAGATATATATAATTGACAAGGAGAAGAGAAATAAAATGTAACAGTATAGTAAAGCCGTATGATTATGTTTCAATAAGTATATGTTATAAAACTGGCGATAATGTCTTGACAGTATATAAATTATGCAAAACGTTAACCATTAAATAGGTAAAGATGTCCTTAAAAATTAACTACACACAATTTTCGTTATCATTAAATTTAGGTTATACTGTATATATAGTTGTAACACCTCGCGTTTATAAGCTTATATAACCTTATCCGCTTGGCAAAACATAATATCATTTTTACTGTGAAAAAGAATAGCTACTTCTACCTCTGTATTGAACATAATCATAATATATATCTTGACATAGTCTCATAATTCATTATTGAATGGATTCTTTTATTTTTTAACCTGCAGTTGTATGAAAAACGGCATTAAACATGAGATGATTTCGAAAATTGATAAAGATCAATTCGATTCATTTGATGCCAGAAACGACGTCAAAATCTATTCAGATTATGTCAAAAACACTAATTGCACTATATGATGAAGAACATAGACCTTTGTCTTGAAAGCATCAACAAATACTAGCTATAAAATTGAGGACTAGGCTTTACTCAGTAGTCTGAAAGTGTAACATCTCTCACGTACTATAGCACTGGCCAAAAAAATACCGGATGATACAAGGAATACAACAATCAAAATTTTTCAAAATTTCTAAACCTCATTTATTCAGTACTTTAAGTATTATTATATGTTATTGCAACTCAGGATCAATAAACTCTAAATATATTGTATTGTACTCGCAAAGTTGTGTATTCGGTTCAAACAATATTATATCTTTTCAATGTTGTTGTGCCTGTATAATTCTTTACAAATTTTCAAACATGCAAATTGTAGTAATTGATGTATTACACATTCAAAATGTGGTTCGGAAAAAAGAAATATTTTACGTTATGAAGATTGCCTCTTGTCTCTCCGACGGGAAAGCGTAAAATAATAAATGACGTATAAAATATTGAACGATGTTTTCTCATCCGTGTGTCTAGTACATAATTATTATCTGATCAAGCATTTTACATATAAAAGTCTGCTCAAATTTGACATATAAAATATCTATTTGAATAATGAAATTTTGTCCTACATACACACAAAATCGCTTGGTTTAAGATCAATGAAAGATTTTCCTGCGAGCTTGACTGGTGTTGCACATTTGAGAGTGTACGGAAGCTGAATGGTATAAGTGGCATTGTCCAGTGCTTCTCTCAACCATCTTAGGTGACAATCACAATTCCACAAGTTGCCAGCTAGTCTTACATTAGCTGTGCTTGTAAGATGAGAGAAAACCTCAACCTGAAGACTTTGTAACCTATTAAAACTGAGGTCAATGTCGCTTGATTTGAGTGATTTGAATGCATCTTGCGCAATGGTTGTTATCCAGTTATATGACAAGTTGAACCATAAAAGTGAGGTTAACCCGGCAAAGGTATTATTAGTAACTGCAGATAAATTGTTGTAACTCATGTCCAGGTTTTGTAAATCGACCATGCTTTGAAAGGTAAAGTCCTCCAACTGTACAATCTGAAAATATTATGTAAATATGATTGTTCTGCTTCATGATTAAATGCGGAAGGACAAATAGTTGATAGTATAATGATATAAGAATATTAATGAACATGCATGAGTTTAGAAACAGGTATTATAGTATGGTCTATATGATTTGATTTTGTATCAATACTTATATTCACTTCGAAACTACTCTTAAAAGAAAAGTAGTGTACCAACTCAAATTTTTATAATGATAGTAAACACATATGTATGCATCAATATGATTTTTTACTTACTTTTTGTGGATAGTGGATACAATAAATGTACTCTATTAATAACATGACAAAAAAAATAGAATTATGAAATGTTGTTCGTTATTATCTTGTATAATAGAGTATTAACTAGAAATGTGTCATCATGCCAAGACCTTAAAACTATTCAATGTTAACATAAACCATTTTTATACACCGGTAAAGGCACTGAAGTTATTCAGTCTTAACCTTTTGTAAATTGCATATTGCATATTTGTAGCCAAAATAATGGCCACATACATTTCCACAAAAGTATGAGTGCTGAAACTGAAAATTCAAAATTTTTCAAACATTCAAGAAAGATAAGTTTGTCCAAAATCATTGAACCACGACCAAATTCAAACGTGAACTGCTTATTCCTAAGATGTATCTATATGTCAAATTTAAGTTGAATGTGTACAACCATTGGGGAGATAATGAACGGAAACTTAAAATTCAAAGTTCAAGAGAGATAAGTATGTCAGCTATCATCAAACCATGACCAAATTCGAAATTGACCAATGCATTCTTATGACATATCCATATCTTTAATTTGAGTTGAATATGTTGGGGAGATAATGAAAGGGAACTGAAAATTTCCTTTCTTTCAAAGTTAAAGGGGCATAACTCTGCAAAAAATCATTGAATAATGACAAAATTCAAACTTGACCTGTGCATTTGTTTGACGTATCCATATGTCAAATCTGAGTTGAATGTGTAATACCCTAGAGGAGATAACGAATGTAAACTGAAAATTTCATATTATTTTCAAAGTGAAAGGGACATAACTCTACCAAAAATCATCGAACCATGACCAAATTCCAACTTGACCTGCGCATTCCTTTGACATATCCATATGTCAAATTTGAGTTGAATATGTAACACTATTGGGGAGATAATGAACAGAAACTGAAAATTTCACATTATTTTCAAAGTAAAAGGGGCATTACTCTGCAAAAAATCATTGAACCATAACCAAAATCGTACTTGACGTGTATTTTATCATGACATATCCATATGTCAAGTATGCGTTGAATGTGTTGTACTGTTGGGGAGATAATGAACGGAAACTGAAAATTTCATATTATTTTCAAAGTAAAAGGGGCATAACTCTGCAAAAAATCATCAAACCATGACTAAATTCGAATTCTCATGACATATCCATTTGTCAAGTTTGAGTTGAATGTGTTGTACCGTTTGGGAGATAATGAACGGAAACTGAAAATTTCATATTATTTTCAAAGTAAAAGGGGCATAACTCTGCCATGGTAACCCAACCAATATTTTGATGTTTACGTGTTGTTGTTATTTATATATTGGTTATTTCGTGTATTTGAAGCAATAAAAAGAAATAAGTTTCATCAAGAGGAGTCTTTGTAATATTTACCTTGTTTTGATCTAGTTTGAGATCCTGCAAAGAGACGAGTTGTCTAAATGCATCTTTATCCACCACACTGATGTTATTACCACTCATATGTAATTCATAGGGTCCTGTTAAACCAGCTAATGTGTTTCTGCTTAAGTTATTGATGTTATTGTAACTCATGTCCAACGAGATTTGTTTGTCTAACCCATCAAAAGCAAAGTCTTCAACATTTGTGATCTGAAATAAACGTTGTAATATTTATATTCAACTCTGGTATAAACATTTGTAGACTGTTGTTTGTGGATATCTTAGTATGAACAAAGGAAATTTTAATAAATGTAATAACTCCATGGTCGTGTGCTTTTACTTATCTACTCTAAAATATCGTTCTTGTAAAATCTAGTAATCAAATGACTAAACGTGACATTTGTGATTTAATTATTGCCAAAACATGAGTGTGGTAAGAAAAAGACAGATAACGCTATGTTTATTTATGCTTTCTATGTGTTTTTGTTTGTTTTGCAATTCTTTTGAAAGTATTATATGCATGGTTTTATATATAAGTATATATATATATAACAATGACGACATATTCACATGAACAGTAATTTTCATACCATATTTTGTTGAAGATACAAGTATATCAGATTCGGCGTAGATTTGAAGTCATAAGCCCTAAGCTCAAAAATGGCATTGTCGCTGTAATCGACACTTGTAACAGAACTTGGAAGATTGGACACTACGTGTTTCAATTCATTATCAAAAAATGAAACAGAGTCAAGTGCTTGGTTTTTCTTGAATACGTCCAAAGGAAAACTGTCTTCGTTTAGATTGTTGCTATGAAACTCAAGTGAGGAAAGGGAAGGAATATCATCAAATACACCAGCTTCTAATTTCGTTAACATACAGTCCCACAAAGTTAACGTTTCTAAGTTTGGGTAGTTCTTAAAGCTACCAGACTTTAGAGTGCCTAGATTGTTTTCTGCTACACTAAGCTCACCAATATAAGATGGTAACAGCTGTGGGATAGAAGTAGAAACGCCGCCATTGACGACTATTTCATTTAGAAGTGGCAAGTCCAAGGCCGTAAGATTGTAATTCCCCTCATTTGTATTTATTTCCTGAAAGGTGAAGATTTGTAATTTGAAGAGCTTTTCCAGCGGTTGAATATGAATGCGGGATATATTACACCCGCTTAAATCTAACCAATTGGTGTCCTCGGGAATACTTGACGGAACATCAGTGAGGTTAGCACAATCTACTACCTTCATTCCAAAGAAAGTGTCACATTCACATGAGGCAGGACACGTGATATTTTTGGTAACAGCTTGCACGATGAACGGACAAAGCATGTATAGAAAACAGGAAAATCGTCTTACAGACATAGTTCTGAAAATATAAAAACAGCAGAATTGTTAAAATGAATATAATGTTTTTTTGTTGTTGTTGTTCGGTTTAAGTCACACCAACACTTTAAAGGTCATATGGCGACTTTTCAGCTTTATTGTTTGAAGAAAACCCTAACCCTAACTATAAGACCTCATGTGAGCCTCTGTACATTATCTTAAGCACAAACTGGCACCTGAGTAGAGCCACAGACATTCCATATGCTAGTTTGATAGTAAGATTGGAACCCACAGGTGAAGGGCAAGTAGTTCGAGGTCAACAACCCTAATAAGCTTTACTTGTGAAGAAAGACCTCATGTGCTCTTCTATCGGCCATGCACGTCTCATAAAACATACTCTTCATTTTTGTTTATTTCAGTATAAATCAATTGTATTGTTCGAATCACCGGTTCAAATGATGAAAAGGTGGTGTATGCTTTGGTACCTTAAATAGTATAATCATATATATGACCATTGTTATAAACAGTCTAAATTAAGTAATTTACATTGTAAGTTTTAATAATGAGAAAAAAGAAATAGTTTTAAAGAATACTTGCATGTAATGAGAGATGAGTTAAATTATTAAATGAACTGAAATATACTCATCAATTTTATAATCCGTTTTGTGTTTCAAACTTGCGGAACGAATATCTTTTGTTTGATCTTAAAAGAATAAGCGTAACGTGCCTGAAAAATTCCAACTTAACTATTTGTAGAAATAGGAGCAGATTTCCCGTTTTATTTATGTATGAAATTAAAGAATATATACATCAATGGAAAACTTGAAGGCTAATACCAGCGGATCTAGGAACGCATATCATCAAAATAATTCACGCTGATAACAACCAATATACAGAAACAAAGTGTTGTATTACCAAAACAAAAAATGGAATTCTTTATTTTAAGGTCAAACACTCCACCGTTATCTTTTTTTTGTCTGTCTAAGCTGAATGAAAGTTTATGCTGTTTTGATAGATACACTTATCATAAATGATTGTTGATTGTATACTCAGTATGACTTTAATTTGCAAATTAAATTTCAATTTCTTATTCGTGAACTAAACACTATTAAATGTTTGTTAATTAAAACTTTATCCGTCTACCTATTTGGTGAACTTTGTGTTATCATAAAAATATTTCTTTACAGATCCTATTTTACACAAGCATGGCCATAGTGTTGAACCGGATATGCTACACGAATGAAAGACAAATACTAAAAAATATGTACTCTGTCATTAAATATCGGTACAAACTACTGAGTAGGGTGAACGTAACTAAACACCAAAAAAAAACAACATTTTATAAGACATTTTTAACGTGTAACCTGTTGGGACTGGAAATGTTAAGCCTTTGACACTAGTATGGATCTAGACTAACATGCACATTAGTGCAGTCTGACCAGGCTTTGGTCCAATATTAGATTAGAATCTGAATAGTCTTTAATCATATTAAAGATGCCAACAGTTAACAATGTTTTTACACTATGGAGTCTTTACAGACATAATTGGTATCCTGTAGCCTACATGATAAATGAGTCAATGACCATGAATGTTCATTATAATAAGAGCCACCGCCGGGCTTGAGCAACGCTCGACTTTTTACTTTTTCTATACACGCATTTATATATATACGCATCTATATATATAAATGCAGGTAGAACTGTTCAAGTCTTGTCAATTGTATATATCGCCGTCCAGGAACGGCGATAATGAGGTCGGACTACTTTACAAAATCGCACTGCGCTGTTAGGAGCAAAAGCGGGTTACATTTCATCCATTGAGTAATTCTCTATAATGGCGGATTACTGAGTAAACCTCACTATGTGTTTTTAATTTGTTATGGTCGTCAGACCAAACAAATAATGGTAGCGAAATTTCAGACCTTGATGTTCTTATTTGCAAATGCCGAAAGTAGTCCAAACTCCTTAAAGTACGGTGTCCTTATCGTGCCATTTAGAATGTCGTCCGTCGCGTCTAAGGGTAGACACACGACAATGCGAAGTGACATCGCGACAATGCGAAGCGACGCTCGACAACGCGAAGCGATATGCGACAATGCGAAGCGACGCTCGACAGTGTCAAACGATATGTCGCACTGTCGCCTAGAAATGTCGCGGTAAAAAAGGGCGACATTTAAGAAATGTCGCTTCGCGTTGTCGAGTGTCGCTTCGCATTGTCGAGCGTCGCTTCGCGTTGTCGCGATGTCACTTCGCGTTGTCGCGATGTCACTTCGCGTTGTCGCATTGTCACTTCGCATTGTCGAGTGTCGAGGTTGGTAGAAGTGCATACCACGACACTCGACAATGCGAAACGACAACGCGACAATGCGATACGACGCTCGACAATGCGAAGTGACACTCGACATCGCGAAGCGACATTTTTAAAATGTCGAGTAAATGTCGCGTTATTTTTATGATTTTTACACCGCGACGCTCAACATTGCGAAGCGACACTCGACAATGCGAAGCGACACTCGACAACGCGAAGCGATACTCGACAACGCGAAGCGACACTCGACAATGCGAAGCGACATTTGGAATAATATCGTATCGCATTGTCGTGCGTCTACCGGTGCTTGGTCAGAATTTACTAACTCACCGACAAACGGTGCGATCATGGAAGGGGTCGCACTAAACTGCTGACGAATTAGCTGACGATATAGATATATAGGAAACTGCTGACCAGTTAAATAAAGAAGGATTATCGGAAAATGCTGACCAGTTACACAAAGAAGGGAAACATTGAAGGTGTGAAGATATATAAACACGCCGTAGGGGGTAATAAAAAGATGGGAAATTACTTTTATTCTTTTAATTATATTTTTAATTTTTGCATTTATATGACTATGTTTATAAACTAAATTAATATATACATTTAAAGTACCATAATATCATACATTTTAACACGGATTAACATTACTACATGTAATATAAATCCGTGATTTTAAAAGGATATATTAAACAGCTTTTTATACCACTAAAGATATGCAAAAATTTGAATTAATGTTTTATAAAGAATTATGATGTTATGAGTTTTATCAAAATCTCTTGTTAGTGATATTTCAATAGAAAAATCTTGTAACGGAAAAAAAATGTATTTTCAAAAGCAATAATTGCAATTTGAATTAATATTAAATAAGTCAGCAGTGTTTTAACTTAATTAAATGTCGACAAAATTTTATACAATGTATTGAATTTCGTACATTATAAAATGAATTAAAATTTCACGACAAAATATATTTTTTTCTATATTTCTAACTGGTCAGCAGTTTCCCTATATATCTAACTGGTCAGCAGATTCTACTACATGTGTATATGTTTAACTGGTCAGCATTTTCTCGCCTGAATGTAAAGAGCGTTAAATTTGCTGACCATATAGAATAAGAAGACTTTTACGGCTTAAATCAATTTGAAATAATATTAATTTGGTCAGCAGTGTTTTTACTTAATTAAATGTCGACATAATTTTATAAAATATATTGAATTTGCATACATTATAAAATGAATTACAATTTCACGGCAAAATATATTTTTCTCTATATATCTAACTGGTCAGCAGATTCTACTATATGTTTAACTGGTCAGCATTTTCTCGCCTGAATGTAAAGAGCGTTAAATTTGCTGACCATATAGAATAAGAGAGTTTTACGGCTTAAATCAATTTGAATTAACATTAAATTGGTCAGCAGTGTTTTTACTTAATTAAATGTCGACATTATTTTATAAAATATATTAAATTTGCATAATGAGTAACAATTTCGTAGCATTTAAATATATTTTTCTCTATATATCTAACTTTTCAGCAGATTCTACAATATGGTCAGCATTTTAATAACATATTTTTGACTGTTTATTGTATTTTGTCATAGATAAATCAAGAATGACACGTCGCGTGTGAAATCGATTTTAATATGACCTTGGGGCATATCGATCTCGATAAATTATCAGTTTAATGGATATCTGTGGAAACATGTTGTTTATAATGTAATAAAAGCTTATTAACTATAACAATTAGCACATTATTAATTTTTGTTCAATATTACTTATACAATTATACGAACAACAAATAAGGAAACAGAAATCACTTTGTTTCATATTTGCACTAAATACGACATAATAATTATATTTTGTTAAAATATACATTACGTATATGTACATGTATATATTTTAACCTATGATGCATAGTTTTATACATACTCGAAACAAATTATGATTTTTCGTACACAATATTTTGACTCCATTTTTAAAATTTTAACCAATATATAACACATAGAAGAAAATTCATTAAGGTACTTAAATAAAATATTATATCAAAAGAAATTGAGAAATATACAGTATATATCAATTTAAATTTTTATAATTAATATGTATCATTTGTAATATTGACATCTTGAAAAACATTTTATCAAGTATATTTCTCGACCTCGCCTGTAATATCACCAACGGCAATTTGACACCTTCATTGTTTTCCCTTCTTTATCTAACTGGTCAGCAGTTTTCGATAATCCTTCTTTGTTTAACTGGTCAGCAGTTTCCTATATATTCTATATCGTCAGCTAATTCGTCAGCAGTTTAGTGCGACCCCTTCCATGATCGCACCGTTTGTCGGTGAGTTAGTAAATTCTGACCAAGCACCGGTAGACGCACGACAATGCGATACGATATTATTCCAAATGTCGCTTCGCATTGTCGAGTGTCGCTTCGCGTTGTCGAGTATCGCTTCGCGTTGTCGAGTGTCGCTTCGCATTGTCGAGTGTCGCTTCGCAATGTTGAGCGTCGCGGTGTAAAAATCATAAAAATAACGCGACATTTACTCGACATTTTAAAAATGTCGCTTCGCGATGTCGAGTGTCACTTCGCATTGTCGAGCGTCGTATCGCATTGTCGCGTTGTCGTTTCGCATTGTCGAGTGTCGTGGTATGCACTTCTACCAACCTCGACACTCGACAATGCGAAGTGACAATGCGACAACGCGAAGTGACATCGCGACAACGCGAAGTGACATCGCGACAACGCGAAGCGACGCTCGACAATGCGAAGCGACACTCGACAACGCGAAGCGACATTTCTTAAATGTCGCCCTTTTTTACCGCGACATTTCTAGGCGACAGTGCGACATATCGTTTGACACTGTCGAGCGTCGCTTCGCATTGTCGCATATCGCTTCGCGTTGTCGAGCGTCGCTTCGCATTGTCGCGATGTCACTTCGCATTGTCGTGTGTCTACCCTTAGACGCGACGGACGACATTCTAAATGGCACGATAAGGACACCGTATTAAAGCGGTTACTTCCCTTCATATGTACATTAACGCCGAAAAATTAAGGGGAGTTCACTGCGTAAAGATTGTCAAATGGCAGGCGCATTAATTTTCGTAACTAAAAAATTGTTCCGGATTGGTCGATGATTTCTAATATTCTGTTATTCTTATAGATATACATGCTTATATTCAGCTCCATGATTATTTACTTCAATGTTAAACAACGTTAAACAACAGGTTTACCGTGAACAAAATATATCGAAATTCATAAGGGTTACAAACTCTAATTTAGAATAATATGGTATTCTTCAGACTGTTCTCTTATAACTCCCCATTTTCGAGGGGTTTACACGCTCGCTTTAGAAGTGAGAGGACTGGAGTTCATATCCCAGTTCAGGCAACTCATGTGATTTTTTTATTGTTTTTTGTTTGTTTGTTTGTTTTTTTAATTGTTTAAGCCAAATAAACATTGAATTCAATATCAGTGTTGCAATTAGTCTTATAGCCAATTTACTGTGGTTATAACACTGGAAACAGCATTGGTGACACTATACAAACAAATTGGTTTATAATCTCACAACCTTCACCTTTCTGACATTCTGAGACCCAAACAAATTCAGCGCCTTCTGTGCTTTGATTATAATAGACACCCGTATTTCCGCTAATGTAACTTTGTTAAATACTGACTTTGCGATACATTAGGCTCAAGAAAACAAGACATGGATTTATTACATACTTAAAAATGAAATATTGACAAATATTGATAAAATAAAATGCGTATTTTCTTTTTTCCGTATTTTCACTGTGAAAATTTATTTTTCACTGCAGTGAAACATATCTTCCGTATTTTCACTGGTGTCTTGCCAGACTACTTTCTTTTAAATTCTGTCAGTGCACAAAATTTAAGGGAAAGTCTTTCAAATTGTAATGTCAAAAAAGAGAAAAATGTATATAATAAACAGAAAATTCAAGTTTTTTCTATAAATACATGATTTATTTTCATCTTGTGGCATGAAAATTACCATATTTCACTTGTGGCTACCGCCACTCATGAAATATTTATTTTCATACCACTTGATGAAAATAAATCATGTATTTATAGAAAAAACTTGAATATCCTCTATATATCATACTTAGTTCATTTGACGTAAGGTTTGCACGTGTCTTTTGTAAAAATCAGTTTCTGCTTTGTTCAGATCTTATACGTTTATCTCGACATTTCGTTATCTCGATATTTTTTGGAAGGTCCCGATGTCTTCGAGATAATAAGAGTCGACTGTAATCCTTCAAATATTTTGAATTTTGCATGTTTTATTTATAAAACACTAACGTAAAGAAAGACAATTTTACTGTAATTTATGTATCTTATAACAATACATACAGTACCCGTCACGCTAAACAATTACATTTATACTTTATAATGAATTCTACATTAGGTTAGTGAATATAGGGTAGTTTAAAGGCTTAATCACTCAGTTGAATTATATAGCGTTTTAAATTATATTTGTTTCTTAAACCACGCCATTTATAATGTGTTGTGTTTTTCTTATTTTAGTTTCAGCATTGTTGAAGACATGATTGTTTTTTTATGATTTTTGATTTGTTTTAATATGTTTTCCACGTATTTTGGCAAAGGCTATCTTCATTTTAAATAACACCGTTAAGAATAAATATCTTAAATTCAATCGACTGAAAAAGTCAATTGATGGCACTTAATTTCCATATAATACCATACAAAACGAGACAAAAACAGTGTTTTGAGTTGCTCCATATCATGTGTACATGTTTGCAACCAACAAATAAATCATTTTCATTTCCGTTAATATATGCTACAAAAATGAAGAAAGGTAAAAATAATCTCAAAAGTAGGCTAGGGCTTGAACCGCCGACCACTTCCGTATTAGGCAACCACTTAACCACCTTTGCTATTCCAGATGTGATGACAGTATGCGTATTTTAAAAACATAACTTATATATTCAATGTTAATTATCGTATATTTCACGGACGAAACCGGAGAGGGATCAACTATTTTAATGAGTGTTATATGAGTATTCATAATTGAAAGGTAAATAAAATAAAACTATAACAGAATACATAATAACAAAATAGTTATATAGACGTTTTCATATTGATAACTTACATTTTATAAATAATACCAAAATAAATCATATAAAATAAAAATTATGAAAGAAAAACATATTTAAATTGTTCATAATTAATTTTTGAATTTTGTTCTTATCCTTATCACATCCGATTTGATAAAAAAAAACATTTTTTTTTTTAAATTTTACTTGTTTGTTTGCTTGTTTTATTTATTTTTTTTATTATTTGTTTTTATTCATAACAATTACTGGATTCGTTCTCAAAAATGTGCGTTTGTTTAAAAGAATAAAAATACTATTCCAATACATTATTACTAGAAAAACAAGTATTTTCTTTCCATTTTCTTGATTCCAAAACGGCATCATGGGACTCGGCGTGACGTCATATTGTTTAAAAATAACAGAATACCGTTCGTATCGATTTATTCAGGGAAATATACATAACACATACTACTAAATTGTCACATATATCTACCTATTATCATATATATATAAAACACACAAAAATAATTATTATCTATTATATTTAGTTGTATGTTGAAATGGCACTAACCTTTCATGTTGTGGCTTCTATTGAAACCGCCGTATGAACACATCTGCAGATGATTCTGGATCCAAAATCATACAATTTAACGTCGAGTGTTGGATTCTAATGAAACCTAGTGCTAGGGGGCTTGAACGGTAGCCCTTACTTTGCAGTACCTTTCCTAAACAGACTCAGTTAAACTGAGCCTTCAACATTTTCAATTTTGCCGTTTTGGATGTTCTTCATAGGCGTTTTTTCTATACGTTGGTATCCAATTGCTCTTCAGTTTTGTATGTGGAAAGTAGCGCTTCTAATTGTACATGTACTTGTCTTTCAAAGTAAATACGTAATGTGTGTGTGCGTGCGTGTGTACGAAGATGGAACAATAGGTAATGCAATATGGTAAATATATATTTAACAAAAGAGCAAATGTTCCACAATTTTCCATTTTAACCCTCTTGAATAATCTCCTCCTACAGAAATACAAATCCATTTTTCAAATTCTTCAACATAGACCTCCTGAGGTATACCTTTCAATAACTGAAAAATGGTCGACTCAAGTCCATTTCTTCTCTTGTAGCAATAAAATAGGACTTTCCAGTAAAGGAAACAGGAAAAGATCACAGGATGCCAAATCTGGAGAATATGGTGGATTTTTATCTGGAAAAATAAATCGATTACAGTAGTTCCTGTGTGTACATGTAAAAAATATCAGACCTTTCGTACCAGTCGAAGGACGAACTTTTAAGTAATTTTCAAAAATAAATTTTCACGGCATCTCTATAATACTTGGATTTGACGAACATGACTTAGGACAACAGTTCCACGGGTATTTTTAAAAATAACGTACGTAATTTTCGTGACACTTGTGAAACGTTTGGCAATGCATGGTCGACGAATATTTTTCGTGGCCTAAATCTTATTGTTACACTTGCGAAGTGGTGTAAAATAGTGAAACCAGCTTTCATCATCAGTCCGTATTTTAATAAAAAAAACTGCGACTGTCGTATTTAGGAAACATTTCAGTAACACTCATCTGGAACGTGACGCAAATGCAAAGATTGTCTCAAAATTCAGTGACAAATACTGTCCGTAAAGATTGAAGACAGGTACCGGTATGTCTTTTTCAAATAAAATGTTACGATCAAAACACAATACCGCGGTATATTCTTTTACTGCCAGATGTTAAAATATTGTATGGTCACAATATGCCTTTTTTCTATGAAAACAAACTGGAAATGTTTGCTTACTAATTCTGTTTTCATTTCTACGGCGAAATTTGCACTTTGCTTACATAATATAATTCCACGTCTTGAAATTAACAGGATTTTAACTATTTCTCGTGTACTTGTTTGTACGGCTTTAAAAATCTTACTACAAAATTTTACAATAACGATATTTAACAATTGTTTCCGCACAGGGCTGTGCTGTGTCATAGAAAGTCTTAACTTTAGGACTAACTCAAGGTCGTTCCATTTAATGTTTTTACCTTCAGTCAAACTCATTTTCCTGAGAGAATAAAAATTTAAAAAAAACTTTTATTCGCAATGTGTTATTGCTCATATGCATTGAAAAGAGTAATAAAATACGAGTCATAAGTAACGACGCTTTTTCTTTTTGAAACGCCAAGTTGTCTCAGTTTTGATCTTAAGACTGATTTCAGACTTATTTTTAGTTCAATATAATTCAACATGTAAGATTTCAGACTTAAGACTGTCTGTGAAACGCGGTCCAGAATTAAAGTGATGTTTGTTTTATATATCATCTATCATAAATTTCATTAAAGTGTTAGATAAAGAGAAACAACAATTCTTTGAGTTGCACTTGCATTAATTTAATCCATTTGCATTGATATTTTAATAAAATTAAATCAAACATGAAACTGTTAATAACATTTATATTTCACATTCATGATTCGTTTAAAATTAAGTCCTTTGTTACACATTAAGTCCTCCATTACAAATCTAGTTTCCGTTACACATATATAACCCTCCGTTACAAAAGTAGCCATCCATTACACATTAAGCCTTTTGTAACAGCGATCAATTACATATTTTGTATTTATCATATCAGCTTTTACATCTCCTTACAATTCACATATACAATCAGTAAATCAAAAACATGTAAAGTTTTTTAAGATATGCATACGTTCATACAATCAATTAAAACGTAAGCATATGTTTTCACCTGAATGGATTGATTACAATTTCACCAAGTTATAAATAAAACTTGACAACACTGGGTTGTAACTTCTATTGAATATTTTCCAAGGTTATAACGTATGAACATTTGCTAAGGAGAGAAATCTCTTGCATAAATTGCACGAATGTCACGCGTAAGTTTTTGTCAGTCTACAATTCTATCAGTCTACGTTTAGTTTTCTGAACGAAGCAACTGGTGTGTCATCATTTTTACGTGCCTTTAAGTCCACTCCATACTCGTCACTGGAGAGATGTTTTATATATTCACGGAAATCATTGCTCTGCATGTCTGCCAACATTTCTTCTGCAAAAGTAAATTACAAAGAATGTTTGAATTTAATCTTTTAATGGATTTTTTGAACCACATTTAAAGCAAGAATATTTGAAAGTCATCTAAATTCAAAGAATTTAATAAACGTCAAAACTTCGAGCATTGAAGTTTTTCTCTCTTTCATACAATTTAGTTAATAATTAATTAGTTGATTGAACCAATGCTTGCATGCGCGAAAGATGTTGTAAACATTCAAGTGACCAAGTTTATTAGAAATAATCAGTTTTGTGCTTTTGCATTCGTAAATATTAAAATTAATATCTTCTTAAGCAGTATTTTCAATATTACATTATTTCTTGTGTCAATAAAAAATCACTAACTTCATGCTTTACTACCAATTTATTATAACAATATATATTATCCGAGCCGATGTACACACCCGACACATATGCTGCCTAAAACATATTAACAATTATTAAAACTTATACACATACCGACTATTTTCTCACATGAGCCGACATTAGGACCTTCATAATCATCAGGGAGATACTCGTCTGGTAACACGGACATACCTATCTCCTCATACACCTTTGTTAATCTTCGTCCATGTAAGAACATCTATAAATAATAACAAATATCTATAAATAGTAACAAAATATCTATAAATAGTAACATAATATCTATAAATAGAAACAAAATATCTATAAATAGTATCAAAATATCTATAAATAGTAACAAAATATCTATAAATAGTAACAAAACATCTATAAATAGTAACATAATATCTATAAATAGTAACAAAATATCTATAAATAGTAACAAAACATCTATAAATAATAACAAATATCTATAAAAAGTAACAAAATATCTATAAATAGTAACATTATATCTATAAATAGTAACAAAATATCTATAAATAGTAACATAATATCTATAAATAGTAACACAATATCTATAAATAGTAACAAAACATCTATAAATAATAACAAATATCTATAAATAGTAACAAAATATCTATAAATAGTAACATAATATCTATAAATAGTAACAAAATATCTATAAATAGTAACAAAACATCTATAAATAATAACAAATATCTATAAATAGTAACAAAATATCTATAAATAGTAGCAAAATATCTATAAATAGAAACAAAATATCTATAAATAGAAACAACATATATCAGGAAGATACTGTCAGGCAGCGCAGTCGGGCCTTTCTTTCGTACACATCTATCAAACTTCGTCCACGATGAAGCAACAATCATCTCAATATTAACAATATTACAATATCAAATAGTAGAAAATATTTATCTTTAGTAACACAGCGTCTATATATCTATAAATAGTAACAAAATATCTAAAAATAGTAAAATATGCATAACATGAACTTATCACGCGACAAAGGTCGGAAAATAGTAAAAACTCTCAGTCTGTAACAATAAAATATTATTTTCAGCATCACACTCAGCTAAAAGTCGCAAGTAATTAGCATAGGTTAAATATAAGCTCACCCTATCTTTAGTTTTTTGTTTCATAAGAGGAGAGAACAATGCATACATGGCATCGAAAAACGATGGTTCATTGTACAAATGTAGACCCTTCATTCTAGCTGGTAGCGAATTCTGTAAAAAAAGAACATCAGTTGTTTAATCAATCTTTCTGAGCTTTGTCTTATTTTTATGAAAACCTATAAATTCGGAAATTGTTATAAAATGTACAAATTGCGTGAGTAAACTTTAACTTAGGCACTTACTATTCACATCAATTGTCTATACGACCTAACTTATCAATATTCGGATGATTTTTTTTGCTGTGTACCGGAGAAGTGTTTTGGTGATAAAAAATATTTAAAAAAAAATGTTTTACATAATACATCCGAAATTCCATTTGGATTAAAAATATTTGATATTTTAGTTTACTCATCAAAAGGAACATTATTGCGGCTTTTACAATTTAATAGATAAAAAATCGCGTTGTGTCGCTTTTTGGAACAAAACATAAATGTCTCGCACAATCTGATTGGATGTTTGCCTAAAGCGTTTATTAAAGTTGGTTTGAATCTATTTGTGCCCCGCACCAAAATCAGAACAAAATATAGAACATGGAGCAAAAACGTCACTACAACTATAACTAAACCTGATAAAACTGCATAATTCTTTTTCCATTTTCTTGGTTCCATAACGTCATCATGTGACCCATCGTGACGTCAGTGTTGTCTATAAATACCACAATACCGTTGACTTGTATATTTTCGTCTCTGTTTGCCCAGTCGCATATCAATGTAATAGCTCTGAAAACATTGTCTACGCCCCATTTCTTCTTAACATCATTTAAATCAAGTCGAGCTGAAGTAAAACTATCAAATGTAAGATTAATTATGCCGAATCCGAAGTTTAACGGAAAGAGCCGGGCAGATGCGATTAGATCGGACGATGACCATTAAAAAGGAGGGAGCATTTCACAATGAAATGTTTGCAATATTTTGGTAGAGTCAAATCATTTATTTACCTCAAACATTTTCCTTTCATTTTACTCTTAATCAATCGCAGTAGCAGATTAGCATTTATTTATTTAAATTTATCAGAATATGTACTTTACAAAATATTCAGCATAGAAATGCGAAAGTGAGTGTTCTTTGGCATGTGAATAAAAATCTGAAAAAAGAAAGTAAGTAGACTATAAGGAACTTGCAGACTCAGTTTGAAAAGAGTCTGACCACGATATTCAGCGACACTAAAGTGCAACGCATCTTACACCACCCTAGCACCGCCTAAATGTATTAGAGCTAATCACCTTGAAACACCATTAAAATAAACTACTGAGCATCTTTTTTAACTTTCTGAACTTGTAACTTTTATAAATGGTAGAAAAATGTTGATTCTTACAAAAAAACTATTCCAGATTCGTTTAGAAAAATAGATCCATTATCTTCATAGTGATTCGTTCACTTCCATACAAACTATGGTTCATTATGTGTTAGCCATCATAGTGTTAACTTTTGCATATATGTTGCCAAGTAACATAACAAGTAACTTACCAAGTTTCTCTATGATGACACGCCTACCATGTTTGTCTAACTCCTTTGGTACAACATAAAATCTGAAGCAAAAAAGAAATGGTTAAGCATGTTTCTTAATTCAAAGCTTCGCCATTTTCATGTTTCAATGTTGAGTCCTGCTTAAGCCGGTGCTAGGGAGAGTGAGCGGTTACTTGCACTTTCCAAATTAAATTATGTTCGATCAGCCACAAAGATGGCATTTTGTTTTGTCAACTTGTGACGCTCATGAGAAGGCATTAACAAAAAGCTGATATTCGCATAATGGTTTTGTAAGTATTGCAAGGAATTAGAAAACTGGAAACATTCAAGGATCAGACTATAGGGGTAAGTTCAAGCTTACGTTCACGACCCCACTAGCAACGGCTTAAGCAGAATTCAATATCGGGCAAAGGTATAAATTTATAATCATACCAAAACTTGAATAAAGTCCTAAATTATTCAACTGATATACTTGAGTTTGCGATTCAATATTAAGTCATACATTGTATAAATTGAGTTCATATTATCTAAAACATTATAACAGTTATTTACGTTTCAGTGTCAATAGGTAACAGAAAAGACAAGATCATCAGGACAACTTATACACCGACGTGCAACAAAAACTAATTGTACGGGTGTTTTTTGTTTCCCCCCTTTGCTTAACTTATAGAGTTCAGAGGGATTGACAACAATGATACAAGTGGCAACAATCGACACAGATTAAATGAATCTGGTAATCAGGTAAATGTCCGCTTGCTCCGGCTGAAGTGGTTTTCTTCAGAAACTTAAATATTGGAATCCATGTGAAGAAACGTAAATATTACATCATTACATCAATATACGGTTGAGACATGCACTATACACTAAACTTGAAATTTTCTTGAAAAATAGATATTTTTAAATATGCATTGGCAGCAAAGTTATGATCAAAGCTATATACCCAGTTTTGATAATTTCCTGTATAGCCGGTTCACTGGGGTCAACATTTCTGTACCATTCTGGTGTCTTTGTCTTACACGTCCAGTAATTCTCCAATGTTTTCCTCGCCTCAAGTTGGCTGAACTTTCTCGCTCTTAGAAATCTCAACAGAAATTCAAATTCTAAAAAAAGAATGAACAGTAACAGTCAGTAAGAAATAAACGGAAAAGAAATTGCATAATTTACAATAACAGATACCAAGATGAACATTTCTCGTGGACCAGCTGCCAGCAGTGTGGACCAGCCGCCAAAAGTGTGGCATAAAAGGTAATATTGAAAGTTAATATTGAAAGTTTTTTTAAATCTCGGCGTATGTACACATATCAATAAAATCATGTTTGCTTAAAACCGGTGCTGGGGGGGGGGGGGTAGACGGTGACAACAGCATCATCACCCAGTATGATCTGTTGACGGATTAAATCAGGCTTGCGACATTTTCAGCTTTTGCCGATGTCTATTGGAATTGTTTCTTTTACTTGTATTTTCAACAACAAAAAATATGATGTGAGAACGCTATTTTACCTGTTGGTGTTTTCAGCCATTTTTGTTGTAACACCCACTGTCTGAATGATTGCACGGCAAGAATTCGGTCTGTGTCATTCAACTCGTTCAGTTCTTTTTTCGCTTTCTTCTGACTTTCTTCATTCAGTTTACTGACAAACTTGATATCATCTGATGCATATAAATATAATACGTGCACATTGTATGACATGAATAAATTAACACCTGCACTTAGTATATGTCATGGTTTCAATATGAGAGTAAAAATAGAGGGATATTAAATGTTCAAAGCACAGAAGAGAAGGTATCACTTACGCAAAGTTAATCTCCGAGGTAAAAACGGAGATTGATAAATATTGCATAAGTGATAGTTATTTATTAATTGTTTTTAGAGTGGTTTCATGTGTAAGATCTACAAATATATTGTATGAACATTTGTCAGTATCACTGAAATTACTCAAGTATGTAAAAATACACCATATAAGTGAAAATCTCATAATCATCTTAAAGTCACTAAATTTCCATAATTTTTTAAGCGGGTACAACTATATGGTGGATACGAGTGTTTTCACGGACTTTTGAATTAATACGTTAATGTTGAGACCATACTCGACAGTAATTGCTTGTTAACTTCACATGGTAGCTAAAATGCTGTTCTATCTATGTAAAACTTTTTTAAAATGTTCTATATATAAATGCCCTAGCTTTGTCCTGTGAATTTTGAACAGTCCATTCATTTTAACAGCGATTTGAAAACAAAAGTCGCCTTACTACTTTACTTATAAAATGATTGACTGGCTCAGGGTAGTTCAATTTTAAAGAACAGAACATATACTTAAGTTTACTGACTACATGTTATATAAATACACACTTTATTTTAATGTATTTCATATTTGCTGCCGTTTATTTTTGTTACAGTAAAATCATATGTTATGGCCCCTGTGCAAATATAATTTAACTACTTTATATCATTATACATTCAAAATATTGTTTTTTTATATCTGCACACTGCGGATGCGCAGGCTGGACTGGATCCATGCTGGTCGCAAACCCATTATGCTGTCGTGACGCGGCTCAATTATAAACTTGTCAAGTCATACATATACGCTATTATAACATATGTTTGTTTTCCCGGCTGATAAAAACTCTGTCGTGATCGATGAACAGTAAAAAGTTCAATAATACATGATGTATTCTACAGATCTACTGTATATATAGATGTCAACATTTATGTATGAATGGCGTCTAAAAATCAAACATAATAAAGCAATCTTACCTTTTTCAGATGCCATTATCACAGTTATTCCTGTATTATTACAATTCTTTCAAAATGACAAAACTATTTTGATCACAGTAGATTTTTTTTGTTTTGTTATAAAACACTACCCTGTAGCTATTTTTGTGTACTGATCATTAACCACGATTACAACACGGATATACGACGATTCGCTCGGCCAATTACGGGTATAATAAAATTCAATATCGGATTAGCGAAGCTTTGGTGATTAAGGTATTGCATCCACGAATAGCTCTGCTTATTCGACAAACCGACAACTACCGTGCCTAAATACTATGGTAAGATTTTGGGGAGTTAATAAGACTTCATTGCTTTTTTTATCTGTTTTGAATAAATACGGAAATCAACGAAGTAGGTCGTAATTCACGATTTCGTTATGGATGAGAAACATAAACGGCTATGAATGACTAAGCGTATTTGTAAAGTCTTTTATAACATAATTTCAAGTTTAAGTGCATGTGGACTTAAAACGTGACATACAGTTACATAACTGTATAAGGAAAAAAAGTACGCTGTTGAAGACAATTTATATGAAAATTTCAAATTAAGGCGAAGAAAAAGACTTCTTAAACCTCAATGTGATATAGAAAAAACTTACTATAAGTATGTCACAGATACTTGCCGCACTTATTAAGTAGTGTTTTGCCATCTTTTTTTTTACCAAGCTAAGAAAACCCTTTGGCTCAATATAACAACAACACAGGCAGAGCGCTGACACGCGAATCGAGACAGCCCCGCCAGTTAACCCGTGCAGTGTAACAAAGTTAACTACATGTATTGTTTAATTTAAGCAGGTAAAATCCGAAACACGAGACATTTAAAAATTCACAGCATAAACAAACTCATAAGGTAAATTCAGCACCCATTAAGTTACAAATATGAAAGTGAATTACTTTTGCTTTTCATAAACATTTTTCGTGTCTTGTCACATTTTCTAACAAGAGCCAACGCCCAGCGGTACCATACTCGACCTCCAAAGTCAACGCGGGAAGAATATTGTAGTAAAGATTACTCCTAGAAATCAATATTTTCTTGTACAAAATATAACTAAAATTTCATATTTGACATAGACGGTCAAGGTCAATTAAAGATCAAAGTCATATCAGAATAATTTAACATATGTAGGTATTGTTGTACGTTATATGCATTCTTTTGATCAAATTGTAAAAAATAACAGAGTTATGACAATCTAAGCAAATTTTTGTGCACAAGTAAGAAGACAATTCATCCATTTCTTACAGTTATAGCCCATCTTCACTCTTTTCAAAAAGTTTATTTTGTCCAAGTATGAACACTTACAAAGTTATGCAAATTATAGCAAAAATCAAGGAAAATTCAAATATTTGACATTGAAGGTCAAGGTCATTTATGAAATTATGAGTCAAAGTGAATGTCAGTGTAGTCTACTTGGAGATCTTGTCGTCCAAGACGTATGAACACAATCCATTCAGCAAAAAGAAAAATAATGGCCAAAGTTGAAGTTTTTGGACAGCAGAGGCATCAGACAACATGACTGTAGCAATAGCTTTTTTTTCCCTAAAAAGTCGATCTAAAAGCTACTCATTGAGCATTTAGCTCATTACTGCTTACAGCATGTGTATGCGTTCCTAGAGCATATAGTAAAGTGTGGACTGTTTAGGTTATATGGCACTAAATTGAATTGTCTCCACATTAAGACATAATAAGACACCTTTGCTTTTAGGTCACATAATCTATTAAACAATGTCAGCATTTTGTCTGCTAATGACAAATAATCATAGTATTAATCTTGGCGAATCAAAGCCATAACCTTTAACATACTTAATCATAAATGGTGTGGTACAGTAGCTTGCATCTCACTGCTAGGGGAGGTAATCACTGTTCAGTTTCTACATGAATGATAAAACATTATCTCCCTTTGCAAATGTAACAAACATTGTATAAAGCAAGTCAATATTTCTTTTTATAGATTTCCTTTATTCTTCTATGACAGAAATTATTCTTTTTTCATAAAATTTCATAAATAAGTAAAGTGTTTTTAAATATGTACAACAAATTCTGTTTTTTAAACATTCCAGTAAACTCATTCATTCTGAAATATAATATACACAAATATACGAAATAACTTTTAAAATTAATCACCATAACAACTGTACATTACACTCACTGATTTATACACTAGATAGATACATGTGGACAATTTAACATTACTTGATTTTGACATTTAAATTTCATGCTTGTGATATTCAGGTGACAATAAAATTCTGTGACATTCCAATTCACATTACATTTAAATTCCAGTCATTTAAATTCACTCAACAAATTCATGTTACATTTAAGTACACAAGACATTTGAATTAAATCTATGACATTTATATGACAAAGAAATTCACATTTTAAACACATAATTTGTTAACAATAAGCCCCTAACCCCATATCCAACAACCAGACTATTCACAATGTATTACAATAGCCAGTAACAAACTGTACTAATTCCAGTTTTTTGTTTTCATAACTTGATAGTAAATTAGAGGATTTATATAAGTAAAACAAAAACAGATTTAGGAGAAAGAGTATTTAAACTCTTTTCAGAAAAAAAAAATCCATTTTTTTTTTTTTGGAAATATTCTGCACATTTTTCTGTTAAT